TCCAAAGGATGCTAGCTGAGGTAAATCATGCTTCCCACTCCTTCCTTGCTTCAATTTCCTTTGCACTTTTAGCTTCTTTCTCTAAGATTCTCTTTTCCAAGCTTCAAACACCACACCAAGGCACACACACACAAATTAGGGTTTTAAGGGGCTCTCAAAGACTGCAAAGAGGCCAAAGGAGGCTAAGGCTCCTTTAAATAGAGGTGCAAACCCCAGGATTTAGGGTTTCCACTGCCAGCTACTACTTGCCGAGTCCCAACATGGACTCGTCGAGTAGGTCACTTAAAAATCGATCTCATCCAGCTGCTACTCGACGAGTAGGTCAAGCAACTCGTGGAGTAGAGCTTAACCCACTAAATATTATTTAAGCAACACCTGAGAATCGGGCGTTACATTTATAATTATTTTCTAATATGATTTTTGGATTATTATTGTTGATATTACATCTTTTGGTTGCCTTCCTTGCAAGCTTCTGATAATAACATGATATTATTGCTTCCCTTGCAACTTACTGTTACTTTCCTAGCGACTTACTGATCATAACATGGTTTCATTGCTTTGCTAGAAATTTACTATTGTTTACCTAATAGCTGACTAATCATAACATGCTATTTTTTCTTTCCTAACAACTTTGTTATCATTCCAAGGAAGTTTCTACTTCTTTGTCATAAAATTTGACTCTTAAAGGCCTAGGTTATTTTAGAGTATCAATAGAGTCAAAAGTGTAAAAAAGAAAATATAGCGTGTGTGTCGAACATACGATCTGTGCGTCGCAAAAAAACAACTGATCTGCATTAAAGTCGATTTTTGGCTTCATTCGAACTTTCATTATGTGTTTATCTGCTTTGTCGCTATCGGGGTCCACATGTGCGATGAACACTTGGCGTGTGTACTGCTTTTCATTGATTTCTTCATTCCATTTGATCACTCTACTACTAGGTAACCTCTATGCTAAATCCTATCCTAAATTATGGGCTAAATTTCGAATTTTTAGGATTTTTCGAGGATTTTATCTTTTGACAAAATTTTGTTGTATTTTGTGAAATTGAGTTAGTGCCCTATAGTACCGATTATACTTAATATACTCAATTTTTAGTTTAATTCATCTATTGATTCCCATTTTCATTTTATAAATTTTTAAATATTTTGAACTAAAAATCGGAATTAGGTGTTGTTTTGGATAAAATGAAGCTATATGTGTTCTAGAAGACTATCCGAACATCCCTAAATGATTTTTTGGTTGAAAATTGGACGAAACAACAGGTTGCCATGCCATCTGTTTTTCGTGTTCTTGGGGTGCACCGCACAGACGTGTTTGTGTCGCGTGCACTCACATGTGGCACGCATCTGGGGCATCTGCCCTACTTAAATCCCCTATTCATTTTAAGTTATCCTAAATTAATTCTAATTATTTCCTTGCCTTATTTTTCAACATATATGTCATGACGGGGGTCGTCAGGCTGCAAGTCAGTTACCTCCTAACTGGCCAACACATCCTTTCTTATAGCTTCCCAATGACATTCTGGATCGGAGTACTTTCATTTCACGCCCCAATTCCCTTCTATCCAAGAAGTTTAGAGTTCCTCAGTCTCTTTATGGGAATTTGGCGGATAACACTGGCTGTTCTACTCAGGTAGCACCATTCCTCACCCGATCACTTCGGGATGATAGCGGTCTCCAGGTTTTTGTCTGCCATGGGTGGCGGCTGGTTATCAGGATTAGAGAGGTGATCTAGTAGGAGATCTGTTGGGTGTTCTTTTCGATGGCTTGCTTCAACAAGGAGTTGAGGCTCTGGGATGATTGTCCAGTGTTTTCTTTTTTCCTGGGAGGCGTATCCCGCTCCTGCATCCTCATCAAGTTGGGGAGGCATCTAGGGATTTATGCTACTAAGGAGACTATGAGTCCTCATTTTTATGCATTTTTTGGACAATTGTACCACTACGCCTCCACATGAGTATCAATTTATCAAGGTTAAGGCCCACACTCGGAGGACCTATGTCTCTCGGTCCGGCAAGGAGAGTGCCTTCCGTTTTCCGTTCCCCTATCTATTGGGTGCTTCACCGACTGTTCGCATCCGTCATCTGTCATAGATAGGATTGTGAAAAAGTTCCTTCTAGCAACATTTTATATATGTGGTGCCTCACTCAGATGTATGTTCGTCTTTAGCTTCCTTTCACTCTTGTTCTTTACTTGTTTTGTATGGCTCTAGGTACCACATCCTCGAGCAGGGTTTGCGAGGGTCACTGGGTTACTAGTTTAGCCCTATCCTACGGGGTTTATACTAGTGGGATGGTCCATATATCTATTCAAGAGTTGGGTACTATAACTATCCAGAAGATGTGGGTGCTGACTATTGAGGCGGGTCAGCCACAACGAGTATCGGGGGATGACATTGTCGAGCCAATTCGGCAGGTGGAGCCGAAGGTCGTTCCTGGGTCTGCCTTTGTGAGGCATCAGAGACCTAGGAACGCAGAGCCTGATCTTTCGGAGCCTAATATTGGAGAAGTGATGCAGGGTCTTACTGATGCACAGCAGGAGTGCCATTGGATGATGGATTCGCTTGTCATGATGATGCAACATCTAGGGATGGACCATCCGCCCTTTCTTAGTGCAGATCCCATTGTACCATCCCATTTTCAACCACATAACACTAGTTACTATAGTACTGGTCCTTTAGGCACACATCCTGGAGAAGCTGATGACGATGACGATGAGGAGGAGACCGAGACGGAGTCGTAGGGTGGTGAGGAGTAGATTTGTGGGTTTTATTTTGTATATTGATACTTTATGATCTATTTTGAGATATTTTATTTGGTTTGGGATTGTATATGTGTGTATATATATATATATATATATATATATATATATATATATATGGTTTTTATGTTTCATTTGTCTATCCTAATTCAGATGTTGTATTGGTTCAGTCAAGACTAAACATAGTTGATCAAGCTATGCTTAGGAGTGACTCAACTTTTACACACTGAATTCCTGAATATCTATCTTTATGTGTTGTGTTTTCGTATAGATTTATTTTTGATTGGTGGTTTATTAATTTTTTATACTTCTAGACTATGTAGGGATTGGCCAGGTAGGAAAAGTCGGTGGCAGGACCATTTTGGAATATATTTGTTCTGAAATACTACAACCCAATGTGATAGTTCCAGTCTAGTCACCTTTCCAATAAATACTAAGTTGTTATTCCAAAGGAAATACTAATTTGCTATAGCCAAACCTATGCTCTGATACCATCTTTGTCGCACCCCCTACCCGGCCATCTGTGGAAACACCGAGCAGTGTGACAATATAAAGAGCGCCAATCCTATTAACTTGAGAATACATGAATTTTGAAATCCAACATAATGTTGGTGTGTGCACGAGTTTTTATTTTGAATTTCTTTTAAGAATAGTTTTCTTTGGTGAAAACCTTTATTAGTTATTTACCTAGCCTTCCTTATTTTTAGGGTATCTTTTATAAACCCTAAATTAATATTTTTTTCAGGATATCTAACAATCCTAATGTATTTTAGTTAGGATTATGTTTTGTTAACCCTAATTTGCTATCTTTTAAGGATTTCTAACGATCCAAACGTATTTTAAATACCATACCAGACATCCCAAATGGTAATCTAAGCTCGAAGACAATTTTTCATGTATTAACGCGAGCCCCTATAATTGATGCTACAACCGTAAATGTACCCCAAATCATGTTGCTTCATCGGATGTTGAATAGTAACTTATATGGAAGGTATTATGCTGAGATTGTAACTACCAATGACAGGTGGGGTTGTCATATCCCCTTATAGATCTATACATAACATTCTAGCTCTCGCAAGATTAACGATTATAGGTATTGGGGATATGCCGAATTAAATCTAGGATTTTGGATGAATAACCAACTCACTAACGCATTAACCTTATGTTTTAATCTTTTATCTTTTATCTTTATCATAATTACCTCGATACATACATACATACATATATACATATATATATATATATATATATATATATATATATGTATATATACATATATATATATATACACATACATATATATATATATATATATATATATATACACACATACACACACACACATCACACTATCTTTGTATATACCTCTCCTGGGTATATATCATCAAATGATTTATGTGTGTGTGTGTGTATATATATATATATATATATATATATATATGTATGTATGTATGTATGTATTTGGTAATTATATTTATGATCTCATAATTATCTACTATATATAATTAGTCATACATATACCGTAATTAAGGTTATTTTAACAGGATATTTGGGTAGAGTAACAACTAAGTACAATGCATATCCTAAATTGTGTCTAGTGTAACTCCTAGGTAATTAAAGTTTCCTAGGGATTCGGCCATTTTAACATTTAGGTAATATATAATCCTCAATTACCAGACATCATATCCTTTACACACAGATCATAGCTTAAATTTAGGCATAGTATCTACAGTTATACTATCCTATGTCATCTTGCTTATTATAAAACGAGTTAACATGGTTGGTTTCTATTCATTATAAAATCATAACTCTTCCAAATTAGAGTTAGATTTTCTCAATGTTTATATTTTTGGGATCATTAGGTCGTGTATTTTAGCAATACACTAACCATTTTAACTTTTTGATTACTTTATGAGTTGATTCTAACTCCTAATAACAATCAATGATGGAAAATTCTCAATTATTACACATAGCAGTGTATTTCCTTTTTTATCGGCCTTTCGGTTTTGGTTATTCGGAAGGAGAATGACTCTGGTAATTTTTTGGGCCTTAGGGGCCATGTTACTCAAGGTCTAAATGGTGTAGGGCTAGATAAGTTAGTTGATTTTGAAGTATCGATGGCCTTGCACAAGGTAGTGCCAATTGAGTAGTGGGACTAAAGAACGAGGCTAAGGGATTGGCAGATCAATTGGAATGTAACTATCTACGACCAAGGTTATGTTCTTCTAGTTTTCTGTATTTAGAGGAAAGAGTGAGCACACATGTCATTTTAAGAGCTGGGATGTAAACCTAGCACGGGCTAGATAGTTACGATTTTTGGCAGCAAGTATGACACTACCGAAATGCACATGAGGATTCTTGTGATATGATTGCCTTGATATGAGATCGAGGGTCTGATTTTTTTGAATTTAGTTAGGACATGTGCTAACTGGTTGTTTCAGGTAACTGGGGAAGTGAATTGGGAATGATAAATTTTGTTGTCTCTGATGTATTCTGTCTATGAGAATGATGCCTCTTGTATTTATGAAGATTCACACAATGTATTGATTATTAGGGTTTTATAGGCGAGGTGTGTGGTAGTCTAATTATTTCTAAATAGAGAATCAGTGCTATGAATGGACTATCAAAATTACAGCACATCGGTTTCTTGATGGTAGAGGCAGTTATGATTGGGAATTTTACGAGGTCTCCATCTTAGACTCGAGATATCTTTGAAGTTTCTTCATCTTTATTTTAAAGATAATATTGTGTTGTGTTCCAAGGGTTAGAGATGTTATGTATCTGGTTGAGCCGGTTTCAGATTTATTTTGTTTGCAATGCTAGTTGGGGGAAGTTCAAACCCTAAGTGGGGAAGAACTACGTATTCAACTTGTATAATCATCAAACTATTCAAGTTTATAGTTTTATATAATGGAGCATAAGAATGTGTCATTCAAGATGTGAGAATTTGGTTCAATATTTGGTCAACATGGGGGGGGGGGGGGGAGCGCTGAGCAAATTGGCCTCAGAAGTATGTGCTCAGTAATGCAATATTTTTCTTTACAGTAGGAAGCTTTTGGACAAGGAGCTCGTTGTACCCGGTGGTTCCTTTTGGGAATGCCAATGAATAGGTCATGAGGCGTTTGGGTCGCTCATGCTGAGTGTGTTGGGTTTTGAGCATTCTAACACTCCTAAGTATACATGCAACCCTAAATACCTTGGCTCTATGTTATCTCTATTTAACATGCAAATATGAATATTCCATGGTATTACCCTAACTAGCATACAATCTTTAATACTTGGGTAATAAAATAGATAGAAATACATACCTTGTTGATGTAGCTTGACTCCATGAAGCTCGAGAGCCTAGTGCCCCAAGTGTGACACCTGAAATGGTTCATACAACATCATCAAACCTGGAATAACCATGAGAAGAAGACACTTCTTGTGAGTTTTATAACCCTAGTATTGACCCAGACTGCCTGTAACAACGTTCTTCAGGCGTTAGAGTGTAATGATGTTTGTCACCCCAGACCTACCGATCTAATTGTAGCTAACAATTTAGGTGCAGGATTGTCAATCTCATATAGATCTACATACAACTATCACGCTCTCCCTACAAGAGATTATGATTTATAATTCAGGACTTGAAATGCATACTTGAAAGTACGTGAAGTCAAATATCTCACAAAAGTTAGTATCAAATAGATTTACATATGAAAAGTCCATTTTTCTGGTGAAAGTAAGTATTTCCTCTTTATAGTGTTTAAAGTATGAAAAATATCATGAATATCTCGTAAAATATACCTATTATAGTTATTCAAAAAGTGTGTTTCATTTGAATGATAAACCTTGGTGTGTTACCAGCTTTGCATGTAAAGTATAACATTTCTAATAACGTTATTTTACCTTTTTAACATTTATACACAAAATGTGGATAAAGCATTAGAACTATATGTAACGATTTGCATTTAACATATGTTTTTCTTGCATTTCACTTGTATTTTTCCACCTAAAATATAGTAAAGACGTAAAAATATATGGATATGAACTCACCTGGTAAGTGTGATGCTTTGAAGAAAACGAGACTTTTCTCGGGCAGCACTTCGACCGGAAAGTGGAAAATTTCTCAGGAGTTTCGGACCAGTCGAACCTTCGTCGGACCTTGGATACGTAACCGGGGCATTGGGGTAGTTTCGAGAGGCTCAAGAGTGAGAAAATATGGGAGAGATGTTGTAAATTTGCAAAGAACTTCATAATCATCACATCTTATTTTATAGGGCTGGGAACTGCCCTCGTATGTTGGGCGTACTCGCGTACGCGGGGCATACGTCATGCATGACGTCTTCGTCAGATACCGGACTTTGGATGGGACAGGCTAGAAGGCTAGGGGTAGACGTGTTCGATCTGAGGTCCATCGTTGAGTACGATGGGCGTACCCTCGTACGCCATAGCATACTCCCCCTCAGTTTGTGTGCCCCAATCTTCTAAAATGCGTAACTTTTGCATACGAGCTTCGTTTTTGACATTCTTTATATCCACATGTATGTAAGATTATAATCTACAACTTTCATTTAGACTTTGTTGGCAAATTTTCAATTTATTTTTAATACTATATTTTTAATTGGCCGGGACAGGAAAAGTCCGTTAAAAATTCATAACTTTTTCATCCGATGTCCGTTTTCGTCTATCTTTTTACCGTTGTACTACTATTGTTAAGATCTTCAATTCTCGTTTAGGTTGCGTCGGCTAGAAGTCGCTCGATCTCTATTTCGAGTTTTTAGCTGTCTACTACTACTCCGAAACTTTGAAAAATCATAACTTCCTCATGCGAAGTCAGATTTGGACGTTCTTTTTATGTACGTTAATGGTTTAATGATATCTACGACTTTCATTTAGACACCTATGGCTAAAAAGTATTTTATTGAAATTCCGAGTTTTACGCTCAACAGTGTTTTACCAGTTTCGCTGCGGATTTTCAATTGGTCATAACATCTTCGTTA